GTGGCACTTTAATTACAGTGGCTCCAAGAGTCGCTCTAGTTAAAGTACCACTGCATCTCCTGTATCAGTGGCCCCATACTTAAAAATGGCTTGTTTGACAGGCTTTAGTTCGAGTGCCCCGCTGTGTTTTTTTAAGCGTGGGGACACTGATACACAAGACGCAGAAGGTTACTGGAGCGTGGCGATTGCCACGCTTCAGCAGACTCAATTAATCGAGTTTGCTCCAACGCGCTGGAATCCCAGCATGTCAGAACAGCCTCTGCAGCTGTGTAGAGGTGCCCAATGGGCTTCCAAAATACTTCTAGATTAATTATCACAGTATCACAGCAAAAATGTCATGACACTGGTCCAAGATACAGTCAGCCTTAATCTGTTGCTGATGGTTCAGTTTATCAACCTGTTGTTACTGAATGTTTCACATCACTGGAAGCTGTAGACAAGCTTTAGAAGGGCAAAGGTCTCCATGGAAACCCTAGCCCTGTGCTATCACAGCACAACTGCTTCTGGAGTCTCCATGGAAACTAGCCCCAACCACACGGGCCGGACTGCCTGGAAATGGAGTCCACTGCTGGCTGGATCTGGTCCCCAGGCCGAACTATGTCTGCCCCTGCGTTACAGTGAAATTGTAGCCATGATGGTCCAGGAGTTGAGATGCAATGTTTTTGGAGGTGATACCATTTTATTCATCCAGTGTATAAATGAACGCATTTGAAAGCTTATCTGACTTTATCCCAGATATGCAGCTGGTCCACTAAAAGATATCACCAAAAAATCCTTGTCAAATCTTTGGAAGATAAATGTTCCCACTGTCCCTACAGAAGGACCAAAGATCGAATGGTCCACAGAGACTAAACTACATTCTCTTGTAACAACCATCTTGAAACACATTGATAAGGCAGTGGGGAGGTAGTTTCCAGTCATTATCCATGCCGTCTCTGTAAATAAAGGAATTCATTTTCCAGAGTATCTGTATTTACTCTATTAAAGACAAGGCTTTTGCTCACTCATTTAACATGGGGGGAAAAGCCCCTTGCCTTGCAATTGAGCATTGGGGTAGGGGGGTGGCAACAGGGACAGGAAGCTGCTGGAGCTAAAACTGGAACCACAGCTGAAGCTGCAGCCTGCCTCCCCTGCTGCCTCTGCATGCCCTGTCACTCCTCCCTCAAATCCCCTAGTCTCACCCCCTCTCACCCTGCCACTTATCCCTCTCTCTCCCCCTCTGCTGCACTCCTTACCTTTGCTCCCCCATTGGGAGACTCCATACCTGCTGCAGCCTGGGGCATGGTGCATTGCTGTAGCCTGGCTCTGTGGCTGCAGCCTGGCCCTGTAGCAGCAGCACAGAGCTGGCACTGCTTCTCCAGTCTCATTCTGTAGCAGCTGGGGGGAATGAGTAGGGGGGGAAACAGGGATAGGAGGAAGGGGGGTGGTGACCTGAGGCTGTGGGTGGCAGAAACGGCATGGAGAAAGGGAGAACAGGGGAATGAGGAATTGGGGCAGCCTAAGGCTGTGGGGGTGGGGGAAGCAGGCAAAGTGGGGGTGTAATAAGGAGCTCCTGTGGAGACAACCAGGCACCCCATTTTGGCGGAGCAGTACCCGGCCACCTTTTCTGGCCCCCTATCCTGACCCCCTTTCTCTCTCTCACCAGCCATGCCTTTATGTTAATTGAAATATTTTTTGACAGGCTGTCTTTAAAGAATCTTATCTCCCTATCCTGTCCCCCAGCCCTGAGTCTCATAAGGCTGCATAGGGCTTTGCCTCTTCTCTCTTTCTCTTTTCCCTGCCCTTATTGCTAGGGGGTGGATCACCAGCCCTGCTGGGCTTCAGTCCATCTTAGTCCTCCGCCTTTTTGTCTAGGCTCCGAGAGTCCAAGTTCTGGTCTCTGAGCCCCCAAAAACATAAAGGTAAGTCCAAAAAAAAAGGAAACAGAAAAAAAGTGTATGTGTGCTGGGCCCAATGTTCTGTGGCCTCCTTGCCTGCCCTTACTGCCACCATGGTCCATTGGGTGTTACTATTGTCATGAGCAGGAAAAAAAAGGGATAAGAAAAAAGAGCAGCCAACAGACCCACACTGGGCTCTCAAGAGTCTGTGGCCCTGGCTGTGCTCCACCTTCCTGGGCTCCTCTGGTGTCGCCAGTTCTTACTCTGGACACACTCAGCCAACACTCAGGGCTTCTCAAAGGTGAACATAAAACCACCTTTCAGTTTTTTGTACCCCCTTCCTAGGACCTTCCAAGACCCAACAAAAAAGGCAAAAAAAGAAAAGAAAGTTCTCAGTATTTTGTGGGTGCTTGTTCCTCTGTTCTGGGTTCACAAAAGTGCCTCCTTTCAGGCATCAGCTCTCCTGGCTGGATGGGTTTCTGCCCTTGCCTCTCTGCGGGGCTCTGTCTCCCTTTACCTCCATGGCCACTCATCTTCCTCTGGCCTGGGCAGAGTTTATCACACTGCCCCACCCACATGGACACCTGACTGGGCTTCCCACTCCCAAGGTGCAGGTATGCTCAATCTCTTGATCTCTTCTCCCAGCTCTGCAAGTGTAAGCCCCTGGCCTGGCCACATCCTCTCTCCAGGTCTCTGCTTCCCTTCTCTACTGCCAGCTGCTTGCCCTGCTCCTGTCCAGCTGGGGCGTCTGTTGACAGCCCGTGTCTTTTCCATCCCCCGCCATTTTGGCTGGGTCCCTCCTTACAGCAGGCAATCATTCCCTTTTCTAAGCTACAAAGGTTCTGGTCTTAAAGGAACCCTGCTGCCTTTCCTTCCCTGGCCCCCTCTTCTCCATAACAGGGGAGTAAGTGGATGGGTGGGGACAGGTAGCAGGGGGCAAGCTGCCTGCCTCTCTCACTGCCTGCTCCCTACTATCCCCCACATGCCCTATCATGTTCTACCCTCTATTGCATCCCACAACCTGTCCCCCACTGCCAGTCCCATTACTGCCCCCTCATCACCTCTTCCCCTACCACCTGCAGTAATGGGGAGAGACAAATTTAACAAGATCTTCCAATAACTGGATTCCATATGTGGAAAATTAAAATAAATTTATAAATTTGCCATATGTAGAATCTAATTATTGGGGAGATCACCTTGTCATCCTTGTATTTGGGTATATATGGTAATACAACAACATCTTTCGCTAGTATTTGAATTCACGGGGAGGGAAATGTTGTAAGTGCCTAGGCCTTTTGCTGGAAATTAGAGAGACTACCCACCCTTTCCACCCTTACTGCTGCAAAACCACATGAAAGGATAGGGCAGGTCAGTTCCTTAAAGTGAAGTTAATTTTACCTGTTCACTTTAAAACTGAGATGTTGTCTGTCTGTTCATATCTTTCCACATGGATTCAGTAAGGTCATGGCATCATGCAGAGCAACATCTAGAAAATAATGACTCTTTTGCTGACTGGGCAATGCATATATGATGAGTTGCTGCTGCTCTCAGAGTATCCCAGACTGATAGGCTATTCAGGGGGAAGAGGGCTCCAATAAGCTGTATTGACTCAAATTACACCTTGCCCATCACTGGTATTATCTTTTTAGTTATTTATTTTGGCACAAATCTTGAGGTTTGCTTGAGGAAGGCTAGAAAGAAACTGAAAAGTACTCTACAAGCTTTGCCCACAAGATTGTGCCACTGCCCATTAATCCTTGTTAGTAACATTCTTGCTGTTCCAGTTGCCAACCCCCTCGCTCCACCCCCTACCCCCCTACTTTCTGCCAGTGCATCTTGAACCTTACTTCCTCCATCACACCTGTAACTTTTTCCACAAAGGAAAAAGCACTGAGTTTATCTGATGATGTATTACAATGAAATTCAACATCATGAGTAATGTTCCTGTTTAATTCATAGTTTCATAGTTTCTTAGTTTCTATATATATTCTATAAAATATTCTATATTCTATAAATATTCTATATATATTCTATAAATTTGAATTTATATAAAGCCAGTCATGGAAAGATGGAGTGATTCTTTACCCTTCTGAAGCCCTGGCTCCTTGCAGGGGTACCAGCATGGTCCAGAGCTGGGGCACAGCTGCAACCCGCAGCCTGCATGCCCCTGCCTGGAGCATGCAGGCTCCAGATCACAACTATGCCCTGGCTCTAGACAATGCATTCACTATGGAAAGATCCCAGCCTGGCTGGGAATCCTGCCACTGGTTGCATCTGCCATTTTGCCCACCCCTGCTCTAACACAAAGATTTGACAGACAGATTAATTACAGGAGAGCTATATCCTGTGATATTTTCCCCTCTACCAATCTGGGCTGCATTTGAACTACCAATCTAAATGTGAAGGCCTCCCAACTTATGAAGCATATGGCTGGGCCCTCCTTTCTTTTAACCATGTAATTAAAAATATACTCTAAGCTTTGAAGCAGCACTGTAACTGTCCCAAGGTTAAGATCCAGGTACACAATACTCACAGAAGACTGTAGCTATAGAGTAAGAGTCAACATCATTTCTGCAAGGAAGTTCCCCCAAGGATTCATTTACTGAAAGAATATGCATACTTTTTAAAGGCTGAAAAGAAGTATCTGTGTGGTTGTTCCAGGCTCTATTTAATAACATCACATAACAGAAGAAAATAAGTATATGAAGAGTATAAAAATGAAGGAGGACGAGAAACAAGGCATTATTCAGAAATTGGATAATAATTCCCTACGGAAAGTTAAGGTTCAATCCAAGAGAAATTAGACAACATCCATAAGTTACTATTTGTGAAACAGTTTTCCAAAGTTATATAGAAGATGCCTCATTGTTTAAAACTAGAATGAACAAAGCACTGGAAACCTTACCAAAGGGAATGGTCCTGCACAGAAACCCTGAAGATGGAGTGTGGGCTACTTTACATATTTTCTTCTCTCTCTAATGTCTATGACACTATGAATAAACATGCCATCTCAAAAGTACAGTAGGCCTGCAGGCCGGTGGGCAGGATTTCTGCCAGGCAGCCTTCCTGAGAAGTTCTGTCAGCAGTTTTAATGGTTGCAAAACTTTACCTTCTCCCACTTACCCATCTTCTCCTGCAGCTAACTCCTTGTGACAAAGGGAACTTGGTCCCCATGTGCGGCCTTTCTTTTTATGGCCTCTCTTCTCTTCCTCCTCTCCTTCCTCCTTCTGAAGGACAGAGCTGCGCCCCCAGGTTTTACTGCTTTCGCCAGGTGTCACTATAGAAATGAATAAGAGAAAAAATGTGGGCATATGGGGCAGAAACCCCACCCCCACCAAGATGCTATGTATGCTTTCTGAATTACAATGCAGCATTCTTTCAGCATAAGTGAGAAGAGGAGCAAGGCAAAAGCTATAGTTTTCAAGGAAATTCATGATTAAACTTACTACTTAACCATCTACCTGAAGAACCTGAAGTGCACACCAGCATGTGAGACTTAGTATCACACATTCTAGCATCACAACACCCATGTCAAGCAAGTAAGTGTTATTACTACATTTTTAGAGGGGGAAAATCAGGGACAGAAAGATTATGCAACTTGCCTATGGTGACAAGAAATCTGTAGCAGAGTAGAAAATAAAGCACAGACCCAAAAACAATACGGCAAAGGCAATGGCCATGTAAATTCTCCGCATACTGTCCTTCTACCGCGCTTCAACTCTGAATCAAAAGCAATACCTCTAGAAATGAGAACAAGGCAGATCTTCACATCCTATTTAATCCTCAATATTTTGTTGGAAACTACTAATACACACAACTAAAGGTACCTGTACACACCATAGGTTTTAATCCTCATTAAATTAAATAGGTTTATAAAATTTAAATTTGTTTATTTTGGAGCATTGCATTTGTGTTTACACACACTAGGTTTTCAAATTAAATAAGCCTTGGAGCATCACATCTGTGTTTATATACACTAGGTTTTAAAACAAATTAAGGTGGGTCTCTGGCCAAATTAAGGTGGGTCTCTGGAGTGGGACACTCCAGCACTGTTCCCTACCCCCTGGCCTAGGACCCCCCACTCACTCCATGCCCGTGCCCTGCTATGCAGCTGTGGAAGCAGGGAGCCGGCAAATCGCACAAGAAAAACAAAAAAGAAAAAAAACCAGAAGTAATTTGAAAGTGAAACCAATTCAAAAGGATGAACTACAAAAAAGTCACATCACCATCTGGTAGACAAAGAGGCTCATTACATGTCTTTGAGTGCCTTTGTGTTTGCATGCAATGAATCCATGAACGCAATGCTTTCATTCCTGGCAAGCCAAACTAAACTACATCCAAGGAGTTTAAGTTTAACGCACAAGAAAGACTTTCAAAGCATTAGGAAATCCCACTCGTGCAAACAGACATGCAGTTGCAGTGTATCAAAGGGCAAAAATTGTGGTGTGTACATGAGCCCTGGAAGCTCAAACCCATACCAGCCACTAAGCCATACTGCTCATTAACTCAGATTTTCTTCATTTCCTGACTGCTTATTTGGAAATCCCATTCCCATATCAGTTACCGTTATTTTCTTGCATGCTATCTACCAAACAAATTTCTCTTTCAGCCAAGCAGCCTGTCCACTCCAGAAAACCTGTCTGAAGTCACAGACCAAATCTGTAAGTTTAGCTATAACAAATATTTTGTTTCCCATAGGAATACTTTTCCAATGTGATCAATTAGGAAGCTCTCAGGAACATGAGTAAGTAAAGTTCAGTCATTAAGGGAAATAAACAACCCTTTTTTCCCCACCTCACTCCCATATATCATGAGGCAGCCTCATTTTAGGAAGGCTTATACAGGTCTTGCCCTAAGGCAGCACCCCAGGACTTTACTGCTGCTGAACATATTGTAAATTCCCCAGGTTTAATGATTATAGGGAACTCCTTACACTGGATGGCTCGGAGCCTGGGAATGATGGTAGGACTAGCCGGGGGACTGGAGCAGCTACTGATCAAGCTTTTCCTTTTGTCCATGGTTGGAGATGCTTGCACGGTGAATTTATGCTGGAAATCTGTTTGAATACACACATGCACACAAATAGGTTAAAATATTAATGAAATAAACAAGCAAAAAAACCTCCAAAGTATTTCATTTTTGGTAGTATCTTTGAAAAATGACAACAGCTTCAGAGATCTAATTTTCAGCTCATAGGTAGAAGTGTATTTTTTCAAGTACACAACCATCCAATCTTTTCAGTCCCCAATTCAGTCCCCAAGTTTGTAATTATGCCACCTGGTATACATCTGCCAAGGAGATGCACAAGCTTATGTACAGAAACATACGTCTACCAGGTGGCTAAATTTTATGTCTACATATAAGCCTGAAAGCTTATCTCCTATCTGCCCCAACCATATGAGTTGATCCAATGAAAGATATTATATCACCACACAAATGTTGCTTCTTTCATCTCCCCAGACCATCACAACTACATCAACAACACTACTCCTGTATCTGTTTTTGAAAGTGAAAACCTTGTCATCTTATTTCCCAAAAAGCCTTATAGGACAAGCAAAAACTCCAGCAACAAATGTGTAAAACCCTAAAGAGAGTACTATTAACAAGTAATATAAACTAAAACTACTCTCCACAGTTACCCTGGGTGACATAGAAAATAGTGCAGTGTTTGTTAAAAACACATTTCAAAAAGCCAAAAACCCTGGGCAATTTAAACAGGAATAAACATAGTTTTCTGTTTCTTGCCAACTTTGACCTGTCCAGTCTAGTCACACATATAGTACCCACACCTCTCATTGTGGATGTGTTACTTATATTTGACAACCATCTTGCTCTCTTAACTGTCTCCAGTTGCTGACCAATTGCATTACATTTTCATTAGGAGTGTGCGAAGCAGGCCCTATTCAATTTGGATTCAAATTCAGGCTGAATCAGGGACAGTGATTCAATTCTTTGATTCGGATCACTGTCCCTGATTCGATTCGGCCAAATCCAAATCTGAAGATTCGATGCTGATTTGGAGAATCAGTGATTTGGACACAGACACATCTTTAAAAGTTTTTTCTACATACCTTGAGGTACCAGATGCAGCTTGTGATCGCTGCGATGCTGGGGCAGATGGAGCGTCCCACAGGAGTGCGGGGGGACCCTCTGTGTGCTCAGCCACAAACCCAGAAGCGGACTGAAAGTACTTCCCATCCACTTCCAGGTCTGCCAGGGAGCGCATTGGGGGTCCCCCTCGTGCTCCCCCGGGCTCAGCGATCAGCCACAGGGGGATCCCTGGTGCCCCCCCAGACCTAGGAGGCACCAGTTGCCAAGCTGGAGGGGTGCAGGGGGCCCCCCAGCGCGCTACCTGGAGGACCAAGAAGTGGACCAGAAATGCTTCTCGTCCACTTCCAGGTCTGCTGCTAAGTGTGCTTGGGAGCCCCCCATGCTTCTGTGGGACACTCCATGCACCCCAGCATCACAGCATTCCTGAGCCCCTGCAACCTCGAGTTATGTAGAAAAAACATTTAAAACTGTCTCTATGTCCGAATTGATTTGGAGAGTTCCGATTCGATTCGGAGCGATTAAAGGGTCTCCTGATTCAATTTGGAGATTCAGCCACCGAATTGGGCTGAATCTCCACTGAATCGAATCAGGGACCAAAGCTTCGCATAGCCCTAATTTTCATCTATCCTGAAAGAACAGAACTAAAATCTAAGTCTACCGTAATCTCTGTACAAACATTCATTAGTAGTTCATCTACTCTTTAACTGCCTGAGGTGACCCTTAAAGTTGCAAGGTAATTTCCAAATCTAAGTTTCCACAAACAGTATGGCAATGGCAGCTCTTGTGATTCTATGTACATTCAACATCATCTTTATTTAACTCTAAGACTATTCCAGAGTATGTCGCCACCATTTTCAAGTATTTTCCTTAACAAAATAGAGCATTTGGAATATTGCAGTACTGATTGTTGCCATGATGAGATCTTGCTTTTTACAGCAAACCTCCTTGATACCACCATCTGGCTTGGGACCATGCAAAGGGTAACATTCTCTAGCATGTCACATATTTTTCCGGGTGCATTTTTCACTTTGGACCTCTGGGCAGTGTTATTCACTGTATCCTCTTGCTGCCATTTTCCAAACTTTTCTGTAGCCACTGGCCTTTAATTCTTTGATGCCAAGGGGGTTGGAATTTCTCAGAGCACATCAGGTGACCAGCAGCATTAAACACAAAAGCCATAGGCATAAAGGAGATCTCAGATTCACTGGCCTGTTCAGTAGCACCCATCTGGCACTGCAGCACCACTGACCTGAAGGGAGGCTGATATGATTGCCATCCTTCAGCTTGAGTCGGTGCTTCTTGAACTTTCCCATGCGTTTCTTCACCCGAGGCTTCTCCTGGCACAACTGGTGGATGATGATGTTGAGCTCCCTCTCCAGGATGTCAATTTCACGTTCTGCTAGCTCCTGCTCCCGCTGCCGCAACAGTTCCTCATGGTTCTTTTGCTGGACTGCAGCACGGGTCAGTTCCTCCTCCCATGTACGTAGCTCCTGCAGGGAGATAAGGGAAGAAGAGAAGGAAAAAATTGATAGGCTACAATCAGGCATTCTGGGTCAGATCAATATACCTTTGAGGGCAAACAAAACTGACAGTGGTTTGTATCTACCTCATTTCTGCACCCCTGTTCACAGGCCCAGAGTGAAGTGATGCAAAGACTGAACTTCCCTCTGCCCCCTTCAAAATTCTCCTTCCAGTGCAGGTTGTCCACTCTCTGGTTGGGCAGTGTGGGAAAAGCTTATTCTATTGCTGACCAGATACATCAGCCAGTGACTAATCAGAAGGCTTCTGTTTCTAGAGGGGTCAGCCAGGCATCTTTCCAATAGCAATACATTTATTTAAAAAGAGACAAAATTCTATCTTTGACAGGCTACGAATTAGCATTCCTTTCAACTAGTATAAAACGCTTCAGATAATGCTCTTGTTATATTATAAATGCTTAAATTAGAGAAAAATCTTTCAAGAAACAAAGAAAATCGAAGACTAGAATATGCATCAGACATAAGCCTGCTCTGTCTCTTAAGCCCGAGGCTGACTGTAGGACTGGATATCTGACCTGACCTTTCAAGTCTGACTTTTCAGGTCTGGCCAGCATCATGACCTTAAAGGTGTCAGAGAATAAGTCTCAGTAAAATAAATTGTCTGTGAAATGATAGCACATGTTCAGATTTTCCAAACCAGGGAAGAAGAGGGAGTTAAACCTAGAAACTTCTAGAAATCAAGGAAGGCAGACAGAGGTGACAGGGAAGGAGACCAAGGAAAGGGGAGCTTATTTTTCAGTATATCCATCTACTTGTTCCCCTGCCCAAAGCAGCATCTGCATTTATTTCATAAGGAGTTTCAAAAAAGTCTAAAAATAATGCTATCTCAGGCCACATAAGATCTAGGAAATCAGCTATACCGCAAATAAAAAAATAATAATCAAGGGAAGGGAAGTGTTTTTTCTGTCTTTTTTTAAGCCCCCTTTAAACTGAGGTCATTCCTACCAATCTGTGCCAGAAGTATACTCCTGTACACATACAGAAGTTAAAATGAACTTTTCAACCTTTTCCTTGCCGATTAAGTGATTTGATGGAAATTAATTATTAGATTTCAAAATCCACTGCTCTTCTCACTGCACTCCTTCCTTCCTATCACAGGACAAGCAAATTCAGAAACCAGAGTATGTAACTACAGTCAGTCAATTTCACTCCAGGAGGTAAAATTTGAAGAGATTAAAATTAAACTCCTTACGATCTGGAAGCATTCTGTTAAGTAGGTTTCTTGAAACAGATTTTTGTAACTTCACTGTTTTCTCTGATACAGTTTGATACACTTTATTTAAAAGGGAAATAGTCTTAATATAGTGTTTTTCCTTAATGTTGCAGAAAAATGTTACTATTACTCATGTAATGGTAGTACCCAGAGGCTATACTTGGGGAGTGTCACCTTTCTAACACAGTGAACGATGCCTAGTTAGACAGTCCCTGCTTCAAAGAAATTACCAATGTAATAAAACGTAAAAATCCATACATTTATCTATCCCAACCATGCAGTTTGTCCAATAAAATATATCACTCACAAAAATCCTTGCCTGTATATTTAAATTATTTTTTCTTTATCATCAATGCTGCTCGCTTGTTGTTTGCTCATCATCACTCAGCTTGGACACTGATAAAAATCAAACTACAACCTCTTTCCTTTTCTGCTTCTGGACAGGGTAACTTTCTGGTTTTCCTCTACTATTCTGACATTGTTGTACTGAGGGACAACACAGCTCTGAAGCGAGAGGCCTACAGGAAGACAGTTAATTAAAAAACAAAATCCTGAAGGCAATTCTATTCAAATTAAGATTTTTGTTTGTTTGTTTGTTTTTTAAATTTAAAACTACTTTTGTTTCCTACTTCTTAAATCTAACTTTTGCTCCTAAAACAAGTTGATTTTTAAATGTTAGTTTAGTTTTAGGCAAACTCATTGCTCCCTTAACCATAATTAGGGTAATATTCTGGAATCATTCCACTGCCTTCCTTCTCTCTTTTTAAAAATTGATCATTGTATGCAGACGTTCCCCAAGGGCAGTATCAGAGAATCTTCAGGTCATGCTTTCTTTTCACAGCAGGTATAAAGGAAAAAGAAATCAGCCCTATTCACTGAACTACAGGCATTGGGCACTAATATTCCCCATCCTTCTAGCCCTGTGCTGACTTCATTTCCAACTGCAGTTTACTTGCTATCCCCCAAGACTGTTTCTATATCTGACTGCTGCTACCCACAATTACCCACTAGCTTCCTTACAATTATGAAAGGCTGCTGGTGTGTTCCAGGAAAATTACTGAGAGGGTGGAGGGACAAATGGGGCAACTGTTTTGATCATTTCAGCTGTGGCAGAGACAAAATAAAAAGTATAGGGTGGGAAACCCAAAGCATCTGTGCTTTTCATTTCTCTGACCAATCTTCAGTTTCAGTCACAGAGTTCCAGCTACGAGGAGAGGGCATATGAGGATACAGCTGCTGCTTCTACCCAAACTTCTTCTGGTTTCTCCAATGGTTATTCCCTTTTTTGTCTTTATTGCTGCTCTTACAACATAAGACTCTTTCCACAGACTAGAAAGACAAAAGTTTAAAAACTCTGTGTGTCACATTTTCATCACTAACACAGTAGGCCATACACTGGTTGTGGTCAAATCTAGTATATTTCAAGCTCACATGACAACCTCACAAAAAAAGCCTAGAACAGCCCTACAAAAAAGCCTAGTGTGGTACTAACTAAATCAGTCCAGTAAGAAACTAATATGATCTGCAACAGAGAGAGGTAAATACTTTCACTGGCATGACTAGGTTAAGCAAGATTTAAAACATACATATACAGACATTTGGAAAGGTTCTAATTTATATATAAGGAAGGAAGCTGTGTCTAAGCGCTTGGAGGAGGAGAAGGCGATTAGGAACAGACACTATAGATTCACCAAGGGCAAGTCATGCCTGACCAACCTGACTGCTTTCTGTGATGAGATGACTGGCTCTGTGAATGTGGGGAGCCCAGTGGATGCGATATACCTCAACTTTAGCAAGGCTTTTGATATGGTCTCCCACAACATTCTCACAAGAAAGCAAAGGAAATATGGGCTGGATGAATGAACTGTAAGGTGGACAGAAAACTGGCTGGATCATCAGGGTCAGAGGGTACTGGTCAATGTCTCAATGTTTAGTTGGCAGCCGGTATCAAGTGGAGTATCCCAGAGGTCAGTCCTGGGGCCAGTTTTGTTCAATATTTTCATCTATGACCTGGAAGGTGGGATAGAGTGCACCCTTAGCAAGATTCCAAATGACACCAAGCAAGGGGAGTAGTAGATATACTGGAAAGTTGGACTAGGATTCAGAGAGACCTTGACAAATTGGAGGATTGGACCAAAAGAAATCTCATGACCTTCAGTAAGGAGAAGTGCAAAGTCCTGCAAGTAGGACAGAACAATCCCATGCACCAGTACAGGCTGGGGACTGACTGGATAAGCAGCAGCTCTGCAGAAAAGGACCTAGGAGTTACAGTGGACAGTAAGCTAAATATGAGCCAACAGTGTGCTCTTGTTGCAAAGAAAGCTAATGGCATACTAGGCTGCATTAGCAGAGGTGCTGCCAGCAGATCAAGGGAAGTGATTATTTCCCTCTATTCAGCACTGGTGAAGCCACACATCTAGAGTAGTGTGTCCAATTTTGGGCCCCTCATTACAGAAAGGATGTAGACAAATTGGAGAGAGTCCAGAAGAGGGCAACAAAAATGGTGAGGGGGCTGGGACACATGTCTTATGAGGAAATACTGAGGGAACTGGGCTTATTTAATCTGGAGAAGAGAAGACTGAGAGGGGATTTAATAGCAACCTTCAACTACTCAAAGGGGGGTTCCAAAAAGGATTGAACTAGACCGTCCTGTGGTGGCAGATGAGAGAACAAGGGGCAACCATCTCAAGTTGCAGCAAGGGAAGTTTAGGTTAGATATTAGGAAAACTCTCTCACTAGGAGGGTAGTAAAATACTGGAACAAGTTACCCAGAGAGATTGTGGACTCTCCATCCTTGCAGGTTTTTAAGACCCAGCTAGACAAAGCCTTGGCTGGGATGATCCAGTTGGGGATGGTCCCGCTTTTTACAGCTGGGGATGGTCCAAGGGGTTGAATTAGATAACCTCCTGAGGTCCCTTCCAACCCTAATTTTCTATAATTCTGTGATTTTAAGCCTCATTCCATAAATAGAATCAAACTGAGCTAGTGACACTGTGCTCCCGTTTTTATGCTTTAAATTAAAGTCTGATGCTTGTGATTCCAGGATTGAAGCATGAATGTGGCCTAACCAATACCATGATGTTTGCTCAAGTTTGAAGATAGTATGAAATAGTGGAGAGGTATGATGCACCTCTTCCATTTTACATGGATATTAACACCGAAGCCTAACAATAGTTTGTCAGGATTATTAATTATTTCACTGCTGATTGACATAAAACAATGGAACAGAACTTTCCTGAGGACAATCTGCTCAATAGGTAACTGGAGTTTCATTTTGGTGTTAAAAATCAACAGAATTTAGGTTATAGATAAAACATAAAACACTTCCGTCTGTTTTTTTTGTAGTTAAGCAGCTACAGACACATGTTAAAACTTTCAGGAAAACATCAGATAAAGTATACTTAGACTGTAAAATTGGACAAGATCACAGACCAAAATAGCCTGTGGGGAATGTATTCCCCTGTTTACCTTTTCTTTGGCCCTAAGTTGGTCAAACATCTCTTGGATCTCATGTTTCCAGTCTTCTTGCAAGGAGTGGAAAGAATCTTTGGGCATTTCAAAGAAGCCAGACTCCTCTATGGTGGTGAGTTGGTCTAAGATATTGGCAAAAGATGGCCGTGAGTGTGGGTCAGAGTTCCAACAATCTAGAACAAGACAAAGGCAGACAAATGTTGAATACCAGAATTAATAATGAGGGTTGAGATGATGCAAGTAGGAAAAATAAATACTTCCTATTATTTATGTTACCCTGCCTCTTCATTTTCACACTTGCCCTTTATCTAGCACAATTAGGCCATGAACTGTTTAGACAGTAAGTACATGAAACAAATGAGACTGACCTGTTTTTTATTGAAAACTACATTTCCAATCTGTTAAAAAAAAAAAAAAAAAAAATCGCATACATTTTTCTAAATGCTTTAGTTTAAATTGTAAATCCTTACGCATTTCACTATTTGATGGATAGGAGCAGCATCAGCCCAGCTAGTGCAAATTTCTTTTGCATATGGCTCTTAACACCATGTTTTTATTGTTAACTCATCTAAAAAGTAGAACTTAGGTTAGCCTGAGTGTCTCTGGCTACACTGCAAAGGAGTGCACAAGTTACCAGATACTCACTGGTGCTTTATTCTCACATGTATGTCTCTGGAATATCTGAAGCATATCCCACAGTTCTTTGTGCTTCAGTGGTAAGAATTTGCACCCACCCCCATTCTCCTCCACTGTTAGCAGCACCTCCTCTCCCTTCCCATTCCCTACTCCTCCTCCTGCCACTGCTGCTGTCCCTAGTTGTTTTGGGTATGAAGGAAGCTCCAGATCACCTCCTACACCACTCCAGTTAGGTAGCAGAAGGAGCTGGGCTCAGCCAGGGGCTGTAGGCAGGTTCTTCCACCCTGCCCAGCCCAGCCCCCACAGTGCTCTCTGCCAGCCTGGCAGTGGGCTCAAGGACAGGAAGCCTGCCTGTCACTGCCCCTGTTGTCCCTGGCTAAGCCCAGCTCCCTGTGCAACCTAGCTGAAGTGGTGCAGAAGTGGCTCTGGAGGCATGGAACAGCAGCGGTGGTGAGTGGGGGAGAAGGGGCCATGCACAGAGGGAAAGAGGTGGGATGCCAAGAGCAGAGTGAGGGGGATTCTTATCCAATGCAGGGACTTTAAAAAGTCCCCAGCTGCTGCTCCCACAGTGTAGTCTATCTGCGCCAGTAGAGGGTGTAACTTGGGAATGTGGGAGTAAAACTACCTCTGCAGCACTACACCCATACCTCACTTAAAAAACCCTGGATTAGCCCACACAGGGGCCAGAAATTGTTAGCTAGAAAATCAGGTTTAATGAAATTCCAAGTTATGAAAGTATAAAGAGCATACTAAAAAACTGCACTTGTTAAATGGCAGCTTTGGAAAGTCTTAACAAATGAAACCTAGCTATTCAACCGCTTCACCTCACCCTTATGTCTACCTTCAACAGATGTCAATTTATCACTGTGTATTATTTCCTAGTGCTCCCCTTTATAGGTTTTTTTTGCCTAAATTGTACCCTATTCTTTTGACTACTGCAGAACTCCTGCATGCCAGAATCTGACAATCAATTAGATAAGAAATGCCTATCCAGAAACTTAGAGAAACAACCTCATCCCCCCAAATAACAAGGCTGTAATATAAAGGGCCTTCCTAGTGTATCTGTATAACCAAACATCCCTTCTAACCAGTAGCTGGTGGGGCTGAAACACAGTCTATTGCATAGCCAAAAGGAGTTAAGAATATTTGTAGGACATTCTTAAAAATTATTTATAAGATATTTCTGGAATGAAGTATTACTTCAAAAATTCCCTTTGGATTCATAGGACACCATTGGTCAAATTTATCCTTGCCATAAATGTCACCTGCATGAATCACTGTACGGATGAACTTGAGCTCTGATATCTTTACACATTTGATTCTTTAGGATTTTCATTTTGCATGATTTAACCATCCTGATTTTGATACTATTGGGATTCTTTGTTCAGGATTCTGAGATTGTGTGCATCATGATGTTGTTATCTCAAAATCTGATCCAATCCTAACAATGACATAAGAAGGAAAAACAGTTTTTATGACTGCCAAGTTGCTTCTCCTATCTATAAAAATGTTTAGAAATGCTTTGGAGAAACTCTGCTGCTGACCAGTTAGTGGCAATAGGCAATACAGACAGATTTTTCAGTAGCATAATCCCTGTCCTTCTACCCCAGGTTTTAAGCATGGCAAAGAAAACATGACCCAGCATAAAACAAAGTGCTGCAATCAGCCAAACACATGAATGACTAAAAAGGATAACTATGCAGGTGGCCTATGACTTTTATTTTCCCAGGCCTAGATCTGCTATTATTTCCTCTAATGAGGACAGTTGTAATATACAAATCTTTTCTATGAAGAGGGCAAGTTCAGCTTTGCCACCTCAGCGAAGGCCACCAGAGCAGTAATTCAAAAGCAAAATCAACACTAGGGGAACTAGAGTTCACTATGAACAGAAATGGCATTTTTGGTAAACAGTTTTGGTGAAGGGGAAAAACAAGGATTGTTTTGCTTTAATCCCTTTCAGTCCTTCCTCCTCCCCCCCACTCCATATAAAGATAGGCGTTCAAAAGTGGAATGGACAATCACTCCATGTTTGGGGGTTCAAATTAGGTATACGCTTTTACATAATCCTCCAGTTTTAGAAGATGCTATCTCCAACCTCATCAACATCCACGTTGCTTTATTTTAAGAAACACTGAATTACTTCTTTTTGGAAGCCTTGCCATTGTGAATTGCACTGAAAACAGCTGTTCACTGTTGTATCAGTAGCTCTTTTTGACAGAGTTTACTGCATCATGCTGTTTGTGCTGTATGCTTATACAGTAGTCAGACAGAATGCCCTTTGTTTCACAGCATTCTCTTATGCCTCTCATGAAGGGATCTGCGAACAAACTGCCCTGTTTCACCTTTACTGGCTTTCAGCATATATTTACACTAGCCCCCAGGACGATATACATCCATCTGCCAAGGTGTTCCCAGTTTCATAATAAGATGCTTACTGAAGGTTATATATTTATAGTAAAGTAAATCTGTATGTTGGACCTTTAGTTACCTGGGGGTTAGTGATCTTATGGATCACTGTTTTAGGAAAAGACTGCCAGAATTTTAGACTTTTAATTGAATCTTATAATCTATATCAGGGGTTGGCAACCTACAGACTCTGGGCTGGATCTGGCTTGTGGAACCATGGAACATGGCCCAGAGATGTGGGGTGTCGGTAGCATTCAGCGGGGTGGGGTGTTTCAGCTATGGGTGCTCTCCCAGTACTGCTGCAGAGACAAATATGGGCTGTG